TTTCTTGTCGCTGGTAGGCGAACTTTGACCGTTAGGCTAAAAAAATATGCATAACACTGTATTAGATAATAAATTACTTTGTTATGGGGACAAAGAGTTGTTGAAAGAAACTGACTCACGAAGAGAACTGATTGCCCACATCAGAAAGAGACAACCTAAATTCTTTGGTCATGTGATGAAAAGGAGAAAACTGGATTACATCGTGACAGTAGGAAAGTTGGAGGAGAAGGAGAGGAAAACCCAGAGAAAAGATGCTGGACAGTTTGACATCATGGTGCAGAGGATTATCTGTGTCAGAGTTGACTGAAAGTACACGAGACAGAAGGTGTGGATGGACATAACTACCAACGCCATACAGCATGGACTATGGAGGATCATCTGTGTCAGAGTTGACTGAAAGTACACGAGACAGAAGGTCGAGGTTGGACATGACTACCAACGCCATACAGCATGGACCTTAGGAAGAATATGGGGCCATTTTTATCCTCCATTTTAAAGCCCCACCGCGGCTGTCATCAGAGACTCTAATATAACCTTACAGTTGAACATGGTTTATCTGATTGGTGCCCAGAGATTCTTATCCGAATGATGGCACTTTGTAGCACCGGGTATTTATCGCGCGTTGTGAGGTCCTGGTGGGGGTTCAACGTCATTCAGTCTTTCCTAGCCACGACAAAATGCTGTCAAGTATCTTCTCGCGTCATCTTCCTCTACTTCTCCTTCCACAAAACTGCCACAATGTCAAGTTTCTTTCCTTCCATATTGCTGTCAAAAACGTATGACTGTCTCTGATGTTTGTGATAGGTGACTTGGGTTAAATAATACAGGACTCCTGACTATCGTTAAGTGGCGAGCTATAGTTGCTAATGAAGCAATAAGAGTTGGGGGGGATGGTAAATGTGTAAAGACAAATTACTTTTCATTCAGACACGAATGAAAGAATGTTCGCATAACGTCTGCTACTATCCATGTGTCCTTTTGTTTCCCAAACTCCCATTGCAGCATGTGGTTGATCTATGCGTAAGTTTGTGAAGCTGTTGATTGTAATCTTTGTATTTCTTTCATCAGTTCGGGTTCGCACCTTTACGTTAGGCAAGTAAAACTAACACAAGGGTTCCACTGCTGTCATGAATCATACATAAGGCTACAGGTGTAAAATCCACCTGTTCCCTAAATGGTCCATTCTTGTGGAGTAAAACAAAATGGGGGTAAAAGGGTGCGAAGGGGGAGGGGGGGGGGGGGTCAGGGGTGGTAATTAGACCCACTACCTCCTAACAAGCACTAATTAGTGGCTTTTTTAAATCGGATGTTTCAGGCCAAAAGAAGCAGATATCGCTATGTGACTGTAAACCATTTTTTTTTTTTTCGATTTTAAGAAAGAGTGACGGTGTTTTTGTAATGTTCTTTGTTGTTGGCTTAAAGAACTGCTCTTGCATGTTTGACTTAACCAGTTCAATCGCAAGAAAGTATAATGGCTACGGAAATTGCAACATTGTTTGTTGTCGTTTAAATTAATAATACACAAACATAGCATATTTGATTATTGTATGTCATTGTACCGAATTGGCCTTGATGTTCACGACTGATTTTTACAGAACCACAAATAGAAACCCATCGTGTCCCACATCCTCAAAATAAAAATTAAAAAAAATAAAAAAAAAAAAATACAAAAAATAGCATAACCTTATTGAAAACATGACACGGATTTAAAAAAAAAAATGTTTTATCCATTTGGGATTCTTTCATGCTTGCTTGCATTTTTTACTCCAAGGCAGAAGAATGGACGAACGAACGAACAAGAGGTTACAAAATGGGCACGCAGACCCGTCCTATTTTTGGCCTTTTCAAGCATTCATCTTTAATACAGCAATTTTATGTTATGTATCATACATATTATGTTAATATATCAACATTTATAGAATAAGTGTAAAGTAAAAATACGAAAACAAAACCAAAAAGAGAAGAAAAAAAAACATTAAAGGAAAGCAATTTGAAAAAAAAAACGCAGCACGGAAACGATCCCCGGCCACCGTGGTGAAGGCCTGGAATCCTAGCCACTAGACCATTTCTGATCAATTAGTAGCAATACGATGCGACATCGTCTAATGCTATTAGCTAAGGAAATGCAATTTGTTCCTCAGCTGTGTGACGCAGCAAGTGGTTAAAACTCCACCCAATGCGTTCTTGTTTACGTTATGTTAATGGTGACCAAATAATTACATGGTAAACAAAGTTACGAACTGATTAATATTTTAATAAATACTGTCAAACAACAAAGTCATTTCAAAAATAATAACAAAAAGTTTTTAAACACATACAAACACAATTATCATTATTTATTTTTTTTTTTTTTTTTTTACGTTTAAATAGTAAAATGGATGGCTGGTTCGTGGGATTAGAGAACGCATTAAAAATATACCATATATACTCTTGGTGTTTATGGTAAACTAGAGAATTGGCAAAAACATTACCACTTGAGAACATAAGAGAACGTTTTTGGAAATAGTGCACTAAGAATCCCTACACGAATCACTAAACATTTTGTTACTTAAGTCAGAAAGAAGGTAAATAAAGCATGTGTACTATTGTTGATGCCCGCCGCATGGAATGTTACGGTGGATAAAGAATCACCTACCTTAACAAACACCACACAACGTGAATATTTATATTTGTGTTTCACTTCCAAAAGACCCTTGCTTCACAGACTCCGCCGTGTTTCGGTCAGTAGTTCTAACATCTGGGCCACATGGGTAAATTTTTTGTGTTTCCCCTATCTCGTAGACTCCAAGATTTCGTTAGTTCCCGGGAAAGTCCAGTATTATTGAATAAAGGAAGGGGTGTTAGGGTTAGTGTTCATATCACAAATTAACACTCATATACTTTTGATCTTTCCCTGTGAACTACCCGTGAAATCTTGGGGTCCCCGAGATGGGGTGAATTAAACGATAAAGACTCAAAAGTAAGTGAATTAAAGGACCATTTATCATGCCTTGATGTCTTTTAAAGGAACCCCTTTACTCTCCTGGAGCCTTTCTGCAAAAATATTGATACATCGTCAGTGCGATTGAAGTGTAAGGAAATTCATTTTCAGACTCATGGAAAATATACTCACATCTCATGTTGTAATAAAACGCATATGAACTGCGTTACGTAAATGACTTCGATGCTTTTGTAACCTTTGCCTAAATACCGTTGACACTAAACATGCTAACTGCTTGTTTTGAATGTGTATGATTTTCCATATACCGCAAATATAAAAGAAGAAAAAAGCAGAAATTAAATAAAAAAAATTAAAAAAAAACTTCATGCTTGTTTATATTATAACTCTGTCTCTTAAAGTGCATGATTTTTAGCAGGTTACTGGCTAATTTCCACACGTTACACCGAACAGTTACTGAGTAAGTTTGTTAGAGTTGAGCCCAACTTTTGGAACGCACTGTAGCAGATCTTTCTGAAATTGCGTTTGCAACACTAATTCGCATTCACAAAGTGCACGCAGACACCTACATCTATGCCTTCTGGTAGTCTGACATTTATGTATTCATTCACCTGAACTTTGATGGCGGATGTGATTGATACACTGGCAGTCAGAAATATTTCTGATAGATGCTTCAGTATGTCAGCCCAGTGACTAGCGGTTCAGTGCCGAACTGTCCAGTGACGAGAAGTTCACACGATATAGTGCCATCTTACATCAAAACCTGTGTGTACTTCGCGGGGTTTTGTAATAGATTCTGACATTGCATTACATGTTTTATTTTATATTTTTTTCATGCGATAGCCATATGTATATTTTATTTATAATAAAGTATTTTCTGCTACAGATGTCATTACTAAAAGATTGGTTTTGAACATAGCAGAATAATACTCCTTAGGTGTACAACAATGATTTTAAACGCACATAAAGCAACGTGATTTTTATACATACAGAAGCAAAGTCAGTGAAGTCATAATATTCGTTCATTCATTATCCTGTTAAGCCATTAAATGTCACTTAGGGTTGGTAGTCTGATCCTCTTTTCCGTTCTATCCTGTGTAATAAGTTTATTATCATGGATGGAATCCAACCCAGTAGCTTTGGCCTCTATCACCAAAGTTTGTCTTAGGGTTCCTCTTAGGCGTCCCAGACAGTTCTCTTATTTCTTTAATCCTTTTGAATTCATCCCGTTTTATTTGTATCATTCTCCTCAGATATTGATAATCAAATGCATTGAACTTTCCTTTTAATCTTGAGTGATTCTCCAACTTTCACTTCCATATGTCAAAAGTGAAAAAAATATTATAATTGAAAATAAGTAACTTAGTTTTAAAACTATACAATTTAGAGTTCCATATTTTATTCAAGCTATAAAAAAGCTGATGAGGCTTTGCTAATTCATGTCACAATGTATTTCTTTGTTTTCTTTACTGCCAAAATGGCTAAGTTAATAAATAAATAGATTTGTTATTTTAATTACTTGTGTCTCCATTTGCTTGATTTAACGTTAATTATATTAATTAAAGAACCCTTCTCCACGCCTCTCAGGCGTATTGGGTATATAGGGCTACACGTATATTTTATAGACCAAACGGCACTTGATGAATAATGTGGTCAGCATCACACCGGCCGCCTTTACTTCCCAGGACTGTACCTGGTACTCACTCAAGGCTGGGTTGCCCTGGGAGTTAAAGTAATTTTCGAAAACAATCCGGCCCTCGTCAGGAACCAAACCCACGACATTCTGATCCGCAGCCGAGCGTCTGGCCGCTAGACCACGGCGGCTCGCTTGATCTATTGTTGGTGTCTGCAATATATTTGTCATAATACTGCCTTTAGGAAAATATTATTTTTATGTTTGTATTTATGCTTTACTGATTTACGAATTATTTCCTCTACAGTTCAGTGCAAGCAGCCGATTTGTATGTGCATTGCTATTTGTGATACGAGGAATACATTGCAATCTTTGCTGAAATAAGTTACTAAAACCTAGAAATAAACATTACCAACAAAGTTATCTACAATGACCGAACAAGGCCACGGGTCTATCCGAAGGAGACTCAGCAAATCAAAAACGCCGCAGATTGTGTCACATGATGTTAAATGTGTTGCTCTTGGGGATGGCAACGTTGGTAAATCGGCGATGATGCTCACTTACCTGATTGGACGTTGTCCGACCGAATGCCCACCAGGTCCGATGGACGGACACTCAGGTAACTATTCTGCTGTTCCATATCATCATCATCATGTGCTATATAGATTGGAGAAGGTGGTCATGTTTTGCTCTCAGGGACAATTTGCAGCGTCAAGGATCAGGTAAGTTCTTGACTTGTCTCATTTATCTCTTTATGCAGTCTGGTGTTTTTTTTCCTTTTGCCTTTCTTTCCCTTTTTTCCCTCTGTCATTGTAACCTTACCAGTTCTAACCAAGTTCTGTTGTTCTTTCCTTATGATTTACACTCACACACGCACACACTGTTTGCGTCAAGTGTATCAAATAATGCTACCATTCATCTGTCTCAGTGTGTGCATTTTTTAAACTCTTCCTTTTCGCATATACAGGCTGTAAATTACCGTGAAAAGTTCTGTTTAATTATCCACTTCTGGAATCTAATCTTCTTCCGTTTTACAGATCTGGCTTATTTGTATGCAGACTGCTGTTTCCTTGCCTCTGGCAAATGCAGATACACTCCAACTTGGAAGGAAACACCCCTAGTTAGTTAACTCTGACCCTATTCGTGTAAGCCAGTCAATAATACCCCCTCACCCCTCCCCCAACCGCCACAGTGGAGCCCCGGATACCACTGTGAGGATCTTGTTTACTTCTTCATTTTTAAATTTACCTAGCCGACAAGTAATACAATTCAGAGCGCTTAAGGCGATCTCCGATGTGGCGAGTTTTTCTTGTTAGTAGTACATTTTACCCCACTAGGACATCATACAAGCAATAAACACCCGATGACACAAAGTGCCACCGTGTGGATGAGGACACCTGTGGAGAGGTCCCGGAAACCGCCTTCAGTCATTAGACCATATTTATGGATGTTCTATATTGCAGCCCCTGGCAATAGAAATGGTGGGGCTTCAAAATAAGAAAAAAGTGTATGCCACAAGGAGATAACTAGTTATTAGTCTGTTTTTCTTGTAAAGAACCATTTATTAGCAATACTCGAAACGGAAACTTCTAGGGGAAGTAATTTGATTTAAACTAGTAGAACTCTAAACGCCGACCCTAAGGGACGCAACCCATAGATTGTGTAAGTTCACATAATAATATTATGTAATACTTAATGTTGTTAGAAGTTAGGGTTAACCCTAACTCTAGCCTCAAACAGTATTGAATATTACAGAAAATTATTATGCGAACGTACACAAGCAATAGATTGTGTCCCCTAAGGTGATCATAAACAAACAGATTGCGTCCCCCAACGTCGTCGCTGTTTTGATTATTATCCAGTTTGATTATTCCTTTTCAGGACTAAATTTTTCGTTATTTGAAGCCCTACTCTGGCTCTTGCCAGGGGCCGCAATATAGCCTGGCCATAAATATGGTCTAAAGGCTGGACGCGGTTTCTGGCACCTCTCCACGGTGATCCTCATCCACATGGTGGCACATTATGCCATCGGGTGTTTATCGCTTGTGTGATGTCCTGGTGGGGTAGAACAGTCAGTCAGTCCTTTTTTGCTGGGGGGGGGGGGGGGGGGGGGGCGGAGGAGGGGGCGGGGTGTGTTTCGAGTTTTTTTTTTATATATAAGAAGAAGATTTGATAAGGAGAACTATTTTAGGTCCAAGCAATTCTTTTTATCAGATCTGCACTTACCAGGAAATGACATAACAAGTGAAGGCAGCTGGTGTGATGTTAACCATATTCTCTACGGAAATCCATAAAAAACTCTGAAACGATATACCTAGGCTATTTCTGGCTTGAAAAGTCCTCTGTTGTTATACTTTTTAAAAACCATATAATAAACAGGCCTTAATAAGTGAAAAGGGGTACTATACATGCTTTCTCCTGTTTGTTTTTCTTGCCTGCCTTGTCTGCACATATTTCCTATTGTTGACCCAGCTTCAGCCTTTGTCGCGGACGTTCACACCCACTAATGTTCTGTGCAAACATGCAGCGCTGACCCTGATCTTTACTGTTATGTACAGAGATTCTAAATTTCGTCAACTGTGACGCCACTTAGTTTTTCGTTTTTGTTCCTTTTTCTTCTTCTTCTTCTCCTTCATTTTCTTCTTCTTTTTCTTTTTCTTCTTCCTCTTCTTCTCCTCCTCATTCTCCTTTTCTTCTCCTCATTCTCCTTTTCTTCTCCTTTTCTTCTTTTCTTCTTCTTCTTCTTCTTCTTCTTCTTCTTCTTCTTCTTCTTCTTCTTCTTCTTCTTCTTTTTCTTCTTCTATATTCTTAGCGTTTACCGGCTGTAAAATCCAGTGGAAAGTTTTGTTTAATTCTTCCACTTATGTGATCTTATGTGGTCATTAAGATGGATAAATGGTGTGGCTGAAACCTGCAGAAATATGAACAAATCCATCATCCAAGAAAGAATTACAATTACAGAAAAACACAACACTGGGCTACAACCTGGTATCAGTGCCTCGCATTCTAAAGTTAGTGGTTCGTTTATACGGTCCCGTCAATCAGATCACGGGCGCAGCTGATAGGAAGATCCATATACGTTCTCGCAAGAGATACAGAGTTCCTGCTTTGTGCGATGCTTTGGCAGTTTCTAGCCGATCTGCGGAGAGAGACTGAGCCATATGGTGTAAAACCCAACGCCGATCCCCTTGACTTCCAAGGCTTCAACCGACTTTAAACAACTTATGAGGCATAACCAGATTGTTACAGACCTACATATTATATCTGATTGATGTGAGCTTCGCCCCCCTCCCCCCTCACGGTTGGAGACTACTCGTTTAAACAGTTACTAGACTGATCCCCACGCTGAAATACATTGTCAGGTTAGTAACTAGGGTGATTTCCTAGTTTAATTGAAATGTTTACTTAGTCACTAAGATTATTCCCACGCGTACATACAATTCGCAGTTAGTCACTAGGTGATTTCCAAGCCTATATACAATGCCCTGTTAGTCGCTAGGGTGATTTTCAAGTTTAAGTTAAATGTTCATTTAGTGACTATGGTGATTCCCACGTTTACATGCACAGCCCAGTTAGTCACTAGGTGATTTCCAAGCTTATATACAATGCCCACTTAGTTGCTAGGGTGATCCTGATTTCCAAGTCTAAATACTCTCACTTCGTCCCTGGGGGAATTTCTGCTCTTAAATTATATGTCAACTTAGTCACTAAAATGACGACCACGTTTCGCTTTATTGCAAATTCAAAGCTAAAATACAGTAAAAGTTAAAAAAAAAAAAAAGTAAAGATCCCTTTTCACGTCTTTCGACGCATCGGGCATATGGGCAAAGCGTCCCATATTTTTACAGACCATCAGCACTCAGTGGGTAATGTGGTCAGCATTACGCCGGCTGTCTTTACTTTCCCAGGACAGCCCATCCTGGTACCCATTTTAGGCTGGGTCGACCTGCGACGTCCCATACCACGACACAAATCCACGCAGCCTGCAGTGGGTTTCGATCGCGGTATGCTGGCTTACGAGTCGGACTCATGCCTAGGATGATATCGGCGTTTACATACAATGTCACTTAGTCATTGTGGTGACTTTCAAACTTAACGACATTCCCCTGCTATCCACTGAGGTAGTAGTAAGTAAGTAAGTAAATTTTACACCACTAGAACATCACACAGAGCGATAAACACCAGATGATATAAAGGGCCACCATGCGGAAGAGGATCGCCCGTAAAAAGGTGCCGGAAACCCCGTTCAGCCGTTAGGCCATATTTATGGCCCGGTTATATTTAAGGTCCCTGGCAAAAAAAGCCTATGTGTAGCTTCAAAATAACAACAAATTGCATCCGACAAGGGGACGACGTTATAATGATCCACTTCTGTGCTTCTCACTTTTTTTGCGGAATGTCCTGTTCTTCACTATACTTTTTTCAGCTGTTGTACCCTGAACTGTATTGACAGTTATATTTTAATTCACAGAATTCGACCATCTGACAAGTAAACCGGTCACGTTTCTCCAGGACAATGTAGAGGTAAAGATGACCCTAATTGACACCTACGGACAGGTACGTTCCATATTATTTTAGAACCTACCAATCAAATACATTTCTTAAATGTTTGTGTAATCTAGACAAAGCATTAAGATGTACTGTGTTCTTAAATCGTTGCTGTGCTTGTTATTCTAGATATGCTTTGGTAATATAAATTTATGTAACCTATGGTGACATTTCAATGGGTTGAAATGAATTCTGTCCGTATTCGATAGTCGTGGATTTCAAGCTGTACACATGGCCAAAAAGACACTTTTTTGGGAGGGGAGGGAAGGGTGGTGCCTAGTTGACCATGTTCTTAGTGATTCAGTATAGTTTTGTTCTATCTCATTTATTTTTAGCGTAGGGGCTTGCCCAAGGTTTCTCAACACACATGGATGAAGATCATAAATGGAGTCGCCAACGGTTTTCTGGGAGAACGCTTGCAGTCAGTCATGAGCTATGGCAAGTTTGGGTGCAACTCATTTGTGTCACCCTAATTAGGCTATGTGATTTCTTTGCGGTTCTGACGGGCTGCCATTTATTGTAGGGTGTTATGAGATGTCTTTCTTCGCTATCTGCATACAACGTGGCGAAAAGTGACATAGGTTTGTTCGACGAGGTCGACACACTGTCTCCCAGACAAAACTGCTACCTTTTTTTTTTTTCGCAACTCCCTTTTCTGTGAACGAGTGTTGTATCTGGAAGGTGTCGTCGTGATTAGGTCTCAGACACCGAAGGCTAGTGTGCGCAAGTAAGATGTTCTGCAAGGGAAAGCGCCGAAGACGCGACGATTCACCAGTATCGAATCTCTGATATTTTCGCATTTCAACGCTTCCTGACAGTAGTTGTCATAGTTGGTGGATGTCTTAAAACGTTCAAAACAAGAATACATGATACCCCTGGAATATAGGACCACCCGAAGGAATCGCTACGAAATCATACAGCCGAACCAGTTGGGTCGACAATCAATTGTAGCCAAGTTTGAAAAAAGGGGGTTGGGAGGGGGTGGAGGTGATAACGTTATCGCGTGCTACACAGAGATTTGATTTGTAAATCTGTGCGCTGCTTGACTTGTGATTGATGGATTCTTAGTGATACATGCCAGCTGTGCATAGCCAGGAACGATTTCTTTTTGATATTTGTGAACGTGTTAATAAGAGGCAGTTTCAGTCATCGGGTTAAATATTTCGTAAATTACCCTCATTTGAAAATCTTTTATAATGAAACATACTCGGCGCTCCAACGTTTTTGATAGCGCGCTGGACTCCAGGTGACGATCCCCATGCGTGTCCGGTCCTGGGTTGGAGCCAGTGGATTGCAGAAAAGCCGCATTTTCGCCAGATTAACAGTGTACGTGGCACCGAAACTGAAGGGCTTCGATGCACGCGACACTGAGCCAGATGAGCTATTCAAGTGCTTCTGGTTCTAACAATATAAGGCAATTATATACAAATAAAAGAATACAAATATTTTATTGTATTTTTATTTACACTATTTAAATGTCTATTCCTAATATATAGTATTGCAGGTCATTTTGCCTCAATAAAATGGGAGCTACTCGCAACAGTTTTTGAACCTCTGGGCTAACCGCCGGCTTTCGGGCCACAGAGGCTAGTGTGAAAATTTGCATGTAACCGGGTTTTCATTTTCAAAAATTTATCTTGGCCCCCAGGTCGATCCAGCCTAAAATAGATACCAGATAATGCCTTAGAAAGTAAAGGCGGCTGGTGTGATGCTGGCCACGGCATCCATTGAGTGCCAATTAGTCTATGGAACTGTAAGTGGCACCCTCTATATCCTATGGGTCAAAGGTGTCAAATGTCTCCTTTACTTTACTCACCACACTCCTAATTCTACCAAGACTTGGAAATGGAGATTTTGCTAAACATGTCTCCACATAGCCTCATGTTTAATATTCATTTCTGATGCAGATTTCCTTGATGTTATGATTCAAAGCTGTCGTACATTTTATTTCTGGGCCTTTCTCTGCTAGTCTACATTAAAAAGAAAATGTGTCAGTATATGCTTACATTTTGCCCTTGTCACAGCGTGGCATAGGGATGTAACTTGTGTTTTGGTAATATTTGTCAATAATTCAAATCATCCTTACACCTGGAAATGATTGCAGAAAGAATGAGAGCTGAGCGTCTGAGAAGAAACTTACTAAATACCAGTGTTGACAACAATGGCCCTTAAATTCCATGCTTAAGGGTGGAAGACTTTTCTTAACAGGTCTTGCTAGTCACATTCGCCATCGCAGTGGGCTGTGAGTCCCATGCCTCCTCATAGCGCAATATAACACCATCTCTGGACAGACGGAAAGGTGCCAATCAATTCTTACATCGCGATTGGCCCAAACTAATTTTGCAACTGTAGTGTCTGGACTAGAACAGTCTTACCGCTCTTCTGAATTGTATACCACGTCACTGTAATATTTGCTACTCAGATCACCCTGAAGCTTTTACTTCCTATAAAACATGCCCGATTTCCTGTGATTAGTGACGACCATCACCAAAGTACATCTGACAGATCCATAGATGATCTAATCCCCTTCTCAGTAGCTTCAGAAGCGACTGACCATGCCCGTTCTGTGTTGATTAATCAGACACCATGTGCACTGGGTGAAATGTCCAAGTCTGGTTACTCCAGGTTGCATCTCATGTCCACCAGCCTGGACAAGTATGCTGTCCTGCTTAATGGCATGAAGCTCATCCTTATATGCAGCTCGCACGGCATTAATGACATCAGTCTTGTTCAGTGTCGGACTCGTTGTGGTAACAGTCTTTACAGCTAGATAATCAGCACTCTAATTGCCTTGAACACACGCATTGCTCAGCTAAAAGATAAGTTGGGCCGGTTATTCGTGTTGCATTTATCTCAGGCGACACATAATTTTATTTTTAAAACCTTTTTTTTAAATTTTATTTTAATATTATTTCACGCCTAGGGTGTTAGGGTGTAAAATGAACAAAGACTAACACTAACTCTAACACCCCCCTCCCCCCCCCCCCCCCACCCTTTTCTTCCCCTATAATATTGGACTTTCAAACGAACTCCACGCGAAATCTCGGAGTCCCAGAGATGGGGTGAAATTTAAAAAAAAAAAAAAGCAAATTTTCGTAAGTGGATTTGTATGCTTATCGTGCAGTTAGTGAGGGTCAAGTGTTTACTGGTTGCACTTGTAAGTAAGTAAGTTTTACCCGACAAGGACATCACCTAGAGTGGCAAACACCCGGTGACACAAAGTGCCACCATGCGGATGAGGATCACCAAGGAAACCCCATTTAACCGTTAGATTATATTTGGGCCTCGCGGCAACAGGCAGGGTGGGGCTTCGAAATAACGAAAAATTGAGTCCCACAAGGGGACGACGAATATTACTTTTGCACTCGAAGATACACTCAGTTTGTAATTTCTGCAGGATGAGTACGAGAAGCTGCGAGAACGAATCTGCGTCTCTGGTGACGTGTATATGTTGTGTTTTGACGTCAGCAGGCGGGGCACACTAGAGCGAATTCGTCATCATTGGTTGCCAGGTATGTGAATTTTTTAAATTTTTATTTTATTTTAATATAGTTATAATTATTCTATAAACGTCCATCACTGCAGCTTCTTAATAATTGTTATCATTTTGGATAGGTTATCTTAGTTTTTTCCTGTAGGATACATTTAAGTGGCTCATATACACACACACACTCACACACACACACACACACACACACGCACACACACACACGCACACACACGCACACACACACACTCACACACACACATACACACACACACACACACACACACGCGCGCGCGCACACACACACACATATAAAAGGCAACTGTATAATACAATTTTTTTTCCTGCTGTGTTTTTGAGCAGAATAGAGGGAATAAAATGCGTTGATAAAAACACTAACGTTGAAATTTAGGAGAGAAATAAACAAGATCCAGTCCACCAAGAGGTGAAGAAAAGACTATGGCGTTGGATAGGGCACACGTTGAGAAAACCTGAGAACAATGTAACTAAAATGACTTTGCACTGGAATCCCCAAGGGCACAGAAATAATGACAGTATTAAAATAAGATCAACAGCGAGAAGGGAGCGAGAGAGCGAAGTTTAAATGATGGGGAGGGCATGGGGAGACCTACATGCAATAGCGAAGTATAGAATCACTTAGTGTGAGTTGGCTGAGGGCCTATGCTCCACTGGGGAATCTAAGAACAAGAAGACAAAGACAAAGAACAGTTTCCTATATATATATAGGCCTACATATACATGCATGCATACACACAGAAATAAAGTTTCGTATGTATATAAGTATTTATATATGTATAGATACATACATACACACACAGACATAACGTTTCGTACACACACACACACACACACACACACACTCACACACGCATATACATACACACAGACAAAGTATAACTATTAAAAATATGACGTCCGTAGCCACGCCTTTCAAAATAAGAAAGGTCCTCAGGTCTTAGTAGTTAAGAACCACCTGCTTACTTTACTTCTACTAGCTGGGGCTTTAAACGACTAAGTAGTTAAGTCGTTTGCCATGCGTTCCCTGTGTCCTCGGTTCGTGTTACAGACCGAGTCAGTCGTTCGGTCCTTAGTGCAATGTTAACTTAGATGTCCGGGGGGGGGGGGGGGATTGCTGGAGCTAAGTTGTTCGTACATCAGTTTCAGTAGGTGTCCGTGATTCTGCATAGAGAGGACAAGCCATGTGAGATAAAAACCTTTGCAACGAAGTCGATCCTCAATCCTCTCGACTTGTTTAGGATTTTTGTTTTTTTGTGTTTTTAATTTAAAACGCGTACACTGTGTCATGGGATGACGGTGACACAAAGTGAACCCAAATTCTTTGTTAACTAAATAACCATCCCAATATATGATGCAATTTTTTTCGTTATTTCAAAGCCTGTAATGCTGTTGTCGGAGGCCCTAATATAACCTAATGGTTAAACGGGGTTTCCGAGACATGTACCCGGCTGATCCTCGTCCAAACTAATATTGGCACTTTGTGTCACCTGGTGTTTATCGCTCGTTGTGTGGTTCTGGTGAGGTTGAACTGCAATCAATCAGTCAAACACCCCCCCACCCATTTTTCCGGCCTAAAAGAATACTCTCCGTCTCCGGATCCGAAAGTCGTGGGTTTGAGTCTGAAACGAACAGGACTTTTAAAAAAAAAAAATTAACTCTGCTGCCAAATTAAACCAATCTTGTGGGTACCAGGTATAATCCTGTAACGTAACGGTCGGCATGATGTTGACCTCATTACCTACCGAGTGCCGATTGGTCTATAATATATAAGCCTTGCACGATATTGTCCAAACGCCCGAAGGTGTGGAAAAGTGTCCATTAGTGTTATTCTCTGTCATGAGTGGCGACTGACCGAACGGGTAAGAACGCTAGGCTTTCGTAGGGGGAGATCCAGTTAGGCTGTGGATTATGGTTTGGCAAAAAAATAAAATCCTAATCTGCCCAATCTGTGGGGACAGCACTAGCGATAAGGACCTAAAACCTCAGGCTCGAAGACCACCCACTCTCCCTCCCATTTCAGTCTACAAAGCACAAAAAGTAAATACGGTCAGCAATGACTGTTTTTTCCCTTTGACTTTCTTTCATATTGATTTAATTTGTAAACAGTTTGAATCGCTGCGTGGCTTCACTGTAGATCAGCGGCTAATCATTCGCTAGCCAGCCTAAATGTCCGGGGTCCATCTCGACGTCGAGGCGATTTCTATTCAAAGTCGAACTTGTTTCAGTCTAAATTGAGTACCACACAATGTCAGGTTAATAAACACAGCCGGGGTGATAGTGACCTTTAGGTAACGAAAGGATCCTTTCTCATGCCTTTAGGATTGCAGTTTATTTGATTAACGTCTCAAAGATAAAACACAAACAGGTACAGCTCCCAGAAACCATTTCAACCGAATGGCTATACAAAACTGAGTTAAGTAAACGAGCTGTTTACACGCTTTTTATCGTATGGTGCATTTAGGGCTAGATCTATATCTTTATAGACCAAATCTAAATTTGGGGAGTGAAATGGTCAACATCCCGCCGGCCAGCTTTACTTCCCAAGACTTTACATGGTACCCGTTAAAGAATGGATCGATCTAGGAATGGGGATAGGTGGAGTCAATTAGAAAGAAAAAAAAAGTCCGGCTCAGTCAGGACCTGAATCCACGAACTTGTAGGTCTGAGTTTAGCCGCTACACGACGGCAGCTTCAGATCTTCAAAGTGCCGATTAGCATATACACATAAATTATAAGCCCATATGCTTAAGGATGTGGAAAACTGTTCTTTACAAAATTCCCGATACTCTAGTGGCGCGTCGGCGTCTGTGGCTTAGGTGTTGTGAGCGCGCTTCGTAATGCCAGGGTACCGTGTTCGATCCCAGCTGCGGACGATTTGGCAGCAGATCGTCTTGCGTTGTTTTCGACTAGGGTACCGATAGCTGACCGCTAAGTGGCAATGGCAAAATACTTAACGTAAAATGTTCCTAGAAAAACCACAACAGCCACAAAATGATGCGGGTGGTTCTGCAACGTTCTGCAAAGGATACACAACTAACTTGATAACTTGTGACGCAAGAAGGGTCCTATTCTTTACGCACTTACATTTTTTTTTATTGTGATGCAATTGTTATAGCGCTATTGATATGTCACTGTCTTCATTTAACATTTAACAACGTCTTTTCATGTTTCCTCCTGTGATGGCTCGGATTGACACATCCCTGATGTTATCCAGAAATGAGAAAATACAGTTCACCAGACACGCCATTCCTAATCGTCGGTCTCAAGACGGACATCCGCACCAAAGCGCAGGCTGACGGAAGTGACATCAGCACATTCGTGACCTTCAACGAGGGCCTGAAAGAAGCCGGTATTCTGGGAGCGTCCGACTACGTAGAGTGCTCAGCCAAAAATAACACGGGCATCAAGCGGGTGTTGGAGAAAGCAGCTCAAATTGCAGTGCATCAAACACTGCCGGCTGAACTGAAGCGGAGCAGCTGTACGGTTTCTTGAGTGTAGTAGTGTATTGATTCTAGTTTTCTAATCGGAGTTGTTCACGTTTCCCGGCCCATCTACACACTTTCTCAGTCGAATCTAGGACAGAGGGGTGTCTCGTTGTACTGCTTTCTTCGAAAAAAGTATATCGTGTGACCTTGGCTCAGGCTGTAGGGACGAAGGTTTCAAAAATGTGTAAATGGGCTAGGAAATGTGAACAGGACCTACTAATCTATTATTTATCAAATGCTGGTAACATTTAGCTGTTAAGTCGGAGACAATTTCAAGTTTAAATGTTTCATATCTGAAATTAGGTGTTTGGTTATTTCTGTGATGTTCCTTTAATTCTTCCAGTTTTATACAGCACATGATGTCTGTATGACTTGCTGTTCCCAGAATGTCAAGAACCTCGTATTATAGTTTATCTCCTTCTCTCTCTCTCTCTATATATATATATATATATATATATATATATATATATATAGAGAGAGAGAGAGAGAGAGAGAGAGAGAAAGAGAGGAGGGGAGGGGTACACACACACACACAATGTGAACATCGTAATCGCCCAGCAGTGAAGTGTATATACCTGTGTCGTATTTGCACTCTTTGAATACATTAAGGTAGCAATGTGTTGCATTTTTTTTTAATAACAAGCTGCATAAGCATTTTGATACTAAATTAATACAGACACGAATTGTTTTTGTCATTGAATAATTCGTTTGTTTACTGTAATATAATGTCTTTTTTTTTTTTTTTTAACTAGAAAGATATCCAGAGACATTTGTTTTTTCTGACGCTTCAAAATTTGGCAATAATGCGACACAGCATTATCATTAAATAAATTTGCAACGCGCATAGCCAATTCCTTATTAGGGTGATGCTTCTCAATGTAAGATGCAACAGTTTGCAATGATTTCAGCATTTCTTTTATTTCGCCAGAAGATTGTTGGTTTTTTGTTACCCCTGCTCCTCCTCTGACAAACTTCCCCCCAAAACTTCTTGCTGTGAAACACAATGCAACTACATAAGCTCTTGGGTGGTCAGCTCTTGGCTGTGCTCTTCCACAAGCTCTTTGATATCACTGTTATCCACCTACAATCCTATGATAGTGGCCAAAGACACAATCTCGTTGACTACAGGTTCCACAGGTACTGTCTCGAACCCCTCAAAGTCACAAATCGACAACGCTCTCCGGCCAAAGCTTCTTCCAAGCAAAAGTTAGGGTTCTCTTTGTAAGCCCTTATCCCTCCTTGTCGATCATATTGAGGCAGGCAACGATATGGAAGTGAGTTTTCCAAAACTCTTTAAAAGTGAGGTTGGTCCCTTCAGTCACCTGAAAACAATGCTCGAAGAAATAACTTGCTGGTCAATGGGCTGGACTAACGGAGTTTTGTTGGGAGGCAGAAACTGGATCTTGATGAACTTAAAATTCTTCAGAGAGATCATCTTGTAGGAATTAAGGATTCATGTACATATATCACAATATAACACACGTTTGAGAAAATGTGTGATCGTAAGTGACACTACGATGCTACTAGAACAAGTGCTAAACACAGACTGATGTTACATGCGCACAATTCGGGATTTCCCCTCTCCACGACACTCGCTATGCGAAACGTAGCTCATTAAGCAAGTCATTTTTTAACAATTTGTTTTACTCGTTATGAAAGGTGCTCGTTAAGCGAGGTTCTACTGTACAACGAATCAACACCTAATAAAACAACATGCAACACCAGTACATTAAAGGATAAAATAAGGGTACAAATACTATATTAAGGATTACACAAGCACTTTTTCCAACTTACATAACTGATACATAACACCAAAAGCTAAGGAAGTTATTTACAGACTACTATGCAACATGACACCAACAACAGACAGAAAAGCACGCAATACTAAACAGATGATACCATGTAAGCTATGTAGACTTGAGGCACAAGTGACCGAGGAACAAATATTCTATACCTGTCCAACAGTGACACTTACCCGTCAAACCCTAAAACAATTAATACAAACACAGACACAAAAACGACCAATATTCATATTACAATTTTTCCACCAAACCCAAATCCAGTAAAGAAATACATAACAAATTACTAATAGCAGTAGCCTATTACAGAGAACTGGTTTGGACATCTAGGAATTTGGCAACGTTTAAGTGTAGAACTTACACCTCTGAATTGTCTTTGCACATGTTCAAAAGAAAAATTCAGAATCTCTTTCCTGTTTGAAAATTATTCTGATCGTTATTAATGAAACATCTTTCCCATTATTATTATTATTATTATTATTATTATTATTATTATTATTATCATTATTATTATTTAAATTTGCAGTAGAAGAAATTGTTAGGTTATATTTCAGGACAACTCAACAATTATTGTTCCCCTCCCCACTCCCCTAAATCATGTTGGTGTAAATAGCACCTTCAGGTACAAGAAGGATCCATCATTTAAACATTAGTAGTCTATGGAAGGAATTGATGGAATGAGAGCAGATAGTGTAAAGGAGATGGGCGAAAGAAAACAGGAAGCAGTGAATATGGAATGGCTATGTGTATGTATGTATGTGTGCATGTATATGTGTCTGTATATTTGTTTGTGTATGTGTATATATGCATTTGTGCAGTGTAAAACCATGTAAGGTGTTCCTCATTATTGTCATATATATAAGCACTCATTTTATGCGTGGTCTGACAATATTAGCATTGTTGCCAACATAAAACACAGTAAGCAGGCGGGAAGGAACACATTAACACGCTAATACATTCATAGGTCATGTACAGAAGACCTTATAACATGGCACTGGTCTTGTAAAAACACTTTCATCCTCACCAATCACCTTTGCACTGTTATCATCGCTGTCATGTCATTGGATTGCTCATAATCATCATCATGCAATCAGGATCATCATTTATACATTAGTAGTTTTGTAAGTGTACAAAGCGTCATGAATTGATGTATTATTATTTTGTAATTAACGGCTGAAAAAAAATTTGACCAAAAAAAAATGTCCTAACAATTTTATTAATCTATTAAAATCACTTTTCGTTGTAACATTTAAAAAAAAAAAATCCTTACAATTCTATTAATTTATTAAAATTACTTTTCATTGTAACGTTTAATCTAGTCTGACTTGCTTCGGTCTGTGTAGCCTTAGAGCTATACAGTGAAATGTTTTAAAGTGTGTGTTAACCTTTGGTTAACCATTTCAATGTCAAGAAAGGAGTACCTATCTATGCCACTTCTGTTTGTATCTATTTGTTTTATTCATGTCACATTCTCTGTGTGACCGGCATGGTGTGTTGTGGTTATTGAAACTTTTAACTCGATACAGCTAAGTTCACTACACTACTAATTAATCGCTTTTTACATTATACTTGCCTCAAGCGAGCTGAATGTATATTTATCTGTGTCCACCCCACCATCCCAGATGTGGATCAGGAAAGACTGAAACACACTATTGATAAAAAGCTAAGAGATGCGCACATTGTTTTTTCGGAAAAAACAGATTCTGTACTGACTAGATAGAAACATTACACATTATAACAGAGAAAAGCATTGAATTGAATTCACCACTTTACACTGGATTCGTAGTCTATGAAAAAGCTTTTGATATCATTAAAAGGGAAACTCTCTGAAGAGCTGAGCTCAGTCAAGTTTTTTTGAATTCAGCGTCTTCAGAATATTGCAAGAAGCAACGTCTGCAGAGTAAACTGGAGACAAAACTGTTTTTAGGCCACGTAATGAGAAGAGAGGCATTGGAAAATATCGTGTTAACTGGAAAGATCAGTGGGAAGAAGGACAGAGGCAGACCAAGAGAGAAGATGCTGGATGGGCTGAAACGATTGCATGGAGGGATATTATCAAGAGAGTTGTTCTGAACAATCAGGGATCGTGAGCGCATACGCCAACTGGCAGGGTACGTGATGATGAACGTCAGCAGATATTGATGATATTGTTAACAAAAGGACTATAGGAGTTATTGCAGACTCGGCATGACCGCGATCCACGTCCAAAGTTGCGTCCCAAAGTGGGTGAAAAATAAAAAAATTTAACTGTCAAGCATGAATGTATGTGATTCAACCCCATCAGGACGGCACAATGAGTGACCAACACCCAGTGACACAAAACACCACCATTCGGATCTGGATCGTCTGTGCACAAGTCTCAGAAACCCTGTTCAACCGTTAAGTTATTTTATGGGATGAGAAACGTTTTTCCACTAGACACCTGGACAAGCTCACCGAGGTCCGTAAATAATGCCTTTAAATAATGGACAAGAGCGTCCAATGCAAGAATTGATTTGTCAAAATTTTGAGCACACAAGTTCGCCTTATTTAAATACTTGTAGCAGATGAGTCTGTGTTGTGCCGGATTATTGTTTAGAACCATTTGAATATTACTGCACATGCAAAAAATATAAAACAGTCCAGCAAGCACATTTCACATATAATATGCTCTCACACCTCAAAACTTCAGCAGCCACACTGAGTGTTGAGTGTTTAAATAAATCAAATCTGGTACTATAGCGAAAGTTAAATTATGTCCCGTAGTTAATCGTGTGCTCTCCCCCTGATTGAACAAAGTACATAATCATAAATACTGTAGTAATTTCAAGTTCAATAATAAATTAAAAACTGTATTTTGACAGTTGTCTTTAATTAACGTGAAATTTCCCAGCATGTTATTGAGACCACTACAGAAATAAATATAATGAAAACAATTCTGAATTAACATCCTTATGATAGGCAACATACAATATTATATTTTATATTCTGCAACGAATGAATCCATTTGTCAGTAATCTAATCGTTAGTGCTGCCCATGATTGAATAAGGTACATAACCGTGTAAAATTGGGTAATTTCAAGTTCAATAATTTTTGACAAATTTAACGTTTACTAATTTTTGCAAGAAACATCAATCTTGCCAAAGATACAGCGAGGTTTTATAGAGATATATATTCTATGATGTGTGTTTGTACCCAAATACAATTTTGTTATATGGAACAGATAAT